TCTGTGTGGAGGGAAGCTGCAGTCAGGGAGTTCTGTCAGTAAATCCACCAAAACAATCCATCGGAGCCGGAGGATGTCCTGGCAATGATAAACTCCCAGTCCTGGTTTGTTTAAGGAAAAATGGAGGTTACAACATTTAACAGTGTTTTCTCGCGAAAATCCCATATTCTGGTTTATTAGATAGTTATGATTGTGTCATTTTATGTTAATAGTTATGATTGTGTCATTTTATGTTAATACTTTATATTGATTTGACTTTTGCCACAAAATGAACAAAACATGAACAAAAAGTCTAAACTAATGTGAATTATTTTTCACAGAGAGCTGATTGGGTCTGGAGAGTTCAAGCTGACGGAAGTTCACAGCAAACTGGTAATACACGAATGAGTCAACGCGAGATTATTTGAGTTTCTGTGAATGAACAGTGGATTAAATGGTGTGTTTTTACGGTTAACATGTCTAACTCTTGCAGATACTGATGAGAGAAACACAAATCTCCAGCCTTTTGTCATTGTGAAAGAAGCCGATGGGAGTCTGCAGAGCGAGCCACTGGTGACTTTGGGAGCACCGTCGCTGATGAATGACTACTGTGAGAAAAATACTGTTCACAGAGATCTGAGCGTGCAGAATGTAAACATGTTTGAGTAATCATAATGTGAATGCTATGTTAACATTCACATCATTTAACTGCTCATTTTTGTCTTGTTAATTCTGTGTAATTTGTGCTATTTTAGCCATTTATTCATTTATTCACCTCATTCAGACTTCAGATGTTTTAAAATAGACATCCACTACACTTGTTCTCTTTTTGTCTACTTGTGCTATTTTTAGCTTTTAGTTAGCATGTGCTACTTTTAGTTACTGCTTTGCTATTTATGGCTGGCCTTTTGCCACTTAAGTTTCAACTAACACTTTTGAACTTATAGCATTTGGCTAGCCTTTTCATACACTTCTCATTAGTCATTAGCTACTTTCTGATCTGCTACTTTTAGCTTTTCCCCAACTTTTTGCTACCCATATCGTTTAGCTATCATCCTGCCACTTTTAGCTTTGGGATAGCCTTTTGCTTTTTAAAAATGTTTAGCCATTATTCTGCTACTTTTGACATTTTATGTAGCCTTTGTAAGCTTTTAGGTACCACTCTGTTACTTCAGTTTTGATTCTTCACCTTTGCAACTTTTAGCTTCTTGCTGACCTTTTGGTACTTTTAGATTATCTTTTGTTACTTGTAGCTTTAAGCTAACTTTTTGCATTGTCAGTATTTTTCCAGTTACTTCTAAAATCCAATTTTATTTGTTGAACAAGATAAAAACATAGTTAGTTTATGATCCTGTTGGACTTCAGATGTTTCCTCAGATCTCTGTGAGCTGAGCTCTATGTTAATCTTGATTTTAGTTGGTTTAGCCRTGTGGGTTTTTGAAAGATGTTTCAAGATAAGTAAATGCACAACTTGTGGTTAACCATGTTTGCTTTTCTTAAGTGAGATTGGGGGTTCCGAATCATGCTTTAATCACAATTTTTTTAACATTTAAAGAATCATCATGAAGATAAAATAATTTTGCARTGTTGAGTCAGTCCACGGCAGCTCCATCTGTTCACAGCAGACAGAACACAACTCCTGCTTTTCTCTTTAGAACTGAGGCCCCTAATACTAAAAAAGTATCAGGTTTGAAGTAATAAAAAAAAAGGCTAACCATGCTAATCATGTTTATCCCAGCTGTGAGGCATGATGGTAGCATATAATTATCAGAATGGCTTTCGCAAAAATCGTTCAGCTTGTATGGCAATTATTGAGCTAACTGACAGAATTCACACTGCCTTAAACAATGATGAATTTATCATTGGGGTATTTTTAGATTTTCAATACAGTGAATCATGAAATTTTACTTTTGAATCTTTATAAATATGGTTTTAATGATATTGTACATAAATGGCTTGGTAATTATCTACTATGCAGAAAACAATATGTTTTTATTAAGGAGCATGAATCTAGGTCGAACATGATTAAATATGGAGTTCCGCAAGGTTCAATATTGGGACCATTATTGTTTATTATTTATATAAAGGATTTTGCTTCTGCATCTAGTTCTACATTTCCATTGCTTTTTGCGGATGATTCCAATCTTTTTATCTCAGATAAAAATATTACTACTCTCATAAATAGATTAAATGTTGATCTTTATAAATATTCGGAATGGTTTAAAACAAACAAATTGTCTTTGAATATCAAAAAGTCTTGTTTTATTGTGTTTGCTGGGAATAAAACATATAATAGTGACCAAATTAATATTTATATCAAAGATGAAGAAATAATTCAAGTTTCATCAACAAGTTTTTTAGAGGTCTGTATCGTTGAGAGACTTTGTTAGAAAAACCATATTGGACATGTCTGCAAAATTGCCATGGTTTTACGTACTAATTACTTAGGATAACTCAAAATGCACATGAAGCTATTTTTCAGATGAACAAGTTGTTTACAGAATTAACAACATACCCTAAAACAAAATAAATCAAAAATATTATGTCAGGATTGGAAGAATTAGTGGCATTAGTTCAATAAAAAGTCAACAGCAAAGCATGAARTAAAATAAGGACACAGAAAAGGAGCACAGAGGAGCAATTAGGAAGTGACCTCAGGTGTGCTGATTGCTAATGGAAGACAGGTGTGCAGAGCTGGAAGCAAAAMCTGTGAAGGACATTTAGAGTCTAGAATAACTGAAAGGTCAAGACTAAAACCAGGCCATGATTATGTTTGTGGGAACTGATCAGCTCCTTTCTGTTTTTATTTTAAAATAATCAMCTTTTTGTTTTCTGTTATATTTGTGTTTTGCAATGAGAAACTCAACCAGCACAACCAGACTTGTTGGCCTTCAGTGTGACCTCCTCAGTCCTCTGTCCTCTGATTCTGTCTCTGTCCTCTCAGACTCCAGTCTGCTCGACTGCAGCTGCAGGGGAACGGTTGCGTTGGCTCTGGGGTCTCGGGTTTACATTTGGAACTCAGAAACTCGATCTCTAGTGGGACGTTTGGATCCAGATCCGGGTGGATCACGACGCAGGACTCTGTCCATCTCGTGTCTGAGCTGGAGCAGAGACGGACGGGTCCTCTGCATCGGGGACAGACGAGGACAGATGCAGGTTAATTTGAAGTTGGTTTGTGTGAAGCTGTGGTGGTCTGTGCAGTGGGGGGCTGGGGGGTGTTGGACTGATCTGTGTCAGCACAGCAGTTATTGGTTTTTGTTTCTTTTTGACATTTAGCTGTGGGACGTTGACTACAACCAGAACACGAGGCAGTTTCAGTCACATCTGTCTGTGGTGACGGCAGTTTCCTGGAAACAGCAGTTACTCAGCAGGTACTGACCACTCAGTTACAATTTACAGAAAATGACTTATTTATTGACATGCTACTRTTTGTTTTAAAATTATTATTTTTCTTTACTATTTTTGTAATCTAACTACCTCTGCATCATTTGTGATATGTAGTCATTAATACATCAGTAAGTTCAGCTCATTCAGGAAACATCTGCTATGACTTTTAGTTTCTGTAACTTTTTCAAAATACAAAACATTAAAATTTCTTCCAAATATGAAAAGCATTTATCTCCTTGAAATCTGCTTTAGCAAACACCCTTTATTTAGCTTTTTTATGCTACTTGTGGCTTTAGATAGCTTATTGCTACATTTAGCTTAGCATTTGGACACTTTTACCATTTAGCATTTTCCTGCTTTTAAGATAAAATAAGATAAGATAAAACTTTATTGATCCCACAGTGGGGAACTTGCACATTACAGCAGCTCAAAACAGGACAGGGTGAGATAGAATAAAGCAGGGGTCCCCAAATGTTTTCCTGTAAGGGCCACCTAACTTTTCCCTTCTCTGGTGGGGGGCCGGAGTCAGTTTGTAACAGAAAAAGTG